GTTGGGTGGCACAGTTCTGTGCTAGTTCAGCTCCTTTCTCCAAGGCTGAACCCAATTGATGTTGATAGGGAGAGGTCCAACCCACAGCCCCTACTTTGTGGGGTGCTTCAGGTTTCGGTGCTTTTGCCACTCCTATTTAGCATCTACATGAAACCGTTAGTGAGATCATCCAGCACCATGGGATGAGGTATCATCAGTATGTTGATGATATTCAAGTTATATATCTCCATCCCAGGTGACCTAAGTGATGTGGCTACCCTTTCACAGTGCCTGGAGGCTGTAGGGGCCTGGATGGGGGACAACAGGCTGAAGATCTAGGCCTGGATGGGGTACAGGGAGCCTCAAGATCTAGGAGTTTATTATCTTTGGTTTTTGACAGGGTCACACTACCCCAGACAGACCTGGTACGTAATCTGGCGGTTCTCCTGGACTCATGACTCCTGTTCAAAGAGCAAATGGCAGTTGTGGCTAGGAGGGCCTTTGTACAACTTCGTGTTGTGCGTAAGTTATACCCCTTCCTCAATCAGGAGCCCCTCTGCACAGTCATGCATGCCCTGGTCACCTCCCGGTTGGATTACTGCAATGCACTATACATGGGGCTACCCTTGAAGAGTATCCAGAAGCTACAGCTGGCACAGAATGCAGTGGCGTGGACAGTTCTGAATGCCCCTGGGGGGCCCATATAACACTGCTGTTACACGAGCTGCATTGGTTGCCAATTTGCTTCCGGGTCCAATTCAAGGTGTGGGTTATCACCTTTAAAGCCCTTCATGGCACAGGACCAGGTTATCTGAGGAGCTGTCTCGCCCGTTATATCAGCCCGCCCCACTTGGCCCGGCAGAAGGGGCATATTGCAGACCCCACCAGTCAAGGAATTTCAACTGGTGGGATCTAGGAAGAAGGCCTTTTCTGCCGTGGCCCCCACTCTGTGAAACAACCTACCACCTGAGTTGCGGTGTGCCCCCACTCTCATGGCCTTCAGGAAGAGCGTGAAATCCTGGCTATGCCAGATGGCCTGGAGGCCGGATAGGGCTCGCACCAGTGGAAGTGGCTCATGGAATAATTGATTTTACTCCCTTGTCATCTTGAATGTTTTTAGTTTTTATGTATAGGGTTTGTTTTTATAGCTTAACTTTTAATTAATTTAATTAATTTTAATTAATGT